ATTTTCAAAAAAGCTCCAATTTCAGTTGTTTTGGGGTTGTTCTTTTTTAAGCATGTGAATCGAGTTAGTGGTAGGAAATGAGGTGATATCAGTGTCTTGCTGGTAGAATCCTCACTTAGTCTAGGTCTGTAGTTCTAGTTTTCAGTTTTTTTAACTCCCTTAAAGATCCACCAGAACTTTTACAATTATCATAGTAATGTATGCTGCTCTTCTGTGGTGTGTTTTTTGCTTTGTTTTGTTTGGAGTTTTTTACTAGTATTAAGGAAGATTAATGGTTCTTCTTTGCATTTATCAATATGTATTTCCACTTCACACACAGAGATGAGTGTTGTGTCTGGGGAGATTGTGCTACAGCAGTCGGTGCCTGGCAATTAACTGGTTGAAGTCATGTCGCTGTCCTAAAAGCCTGGGCTTCATTTTCCAGGAGATTTACTTTGTTCTGCAGGCCCTTTTAAACACATGTCCCCCTGGCTGAACTGTTCTGAGAGAAAGATTGATTCCATTAGGTTGCTGGGGAAGAGGGTGAGGACTCTTCCCGCTGTTTTTCCTGTGTTGTCAGTGGCTGGAAGGCAGGTTACTGCTGACTGGAGGGTTTGGTTGTGGATCTGCTGAGCTCCTCGTTCTCGCAGAGCATTTTTTCTCTTTGACAGTTCACTAATGATAGTCACAGACCTGTAGGACTTGTTCAAAGCAAAAGGTATTTTCCTGCCTTCCTTGTCCTTTCACAGCTTTTATAATTTTAATTTTTATAATTTTAACCTGACTAATCTGGAGTCAATTACTCTGTTATCAGGAAGGTGACCTTCCACCAACAACCAGGACCCTCTCCCCATTCACAGGCCAGCTCTACCCTGGGTCCAAAACCCACCCTTTTCCTCTGCACAGCCATATCTGACCTGATCCCGTGAGTATTTTGAGTAGAGAATTGTCACATGGCAGGAGTGATGACATCTTCATTCTCCCTCGTAGCTGTTGGGCACTGGCACATCTGCACCTGTTGGTAGTACAGCCTTCTGAGAGGTGCAGAAAACGTCAGGGATCGCCCTGGAGAGAGACTTTTCCCTGTGCCTGCAAGGAGGGCTTGGAATTCATATGCTGGTGATAACTTCCTTTCATTTTCCTTTTGCTTAAATGACTCTGTCTTGCAGGTGTCAAATGTAAACTGTTCTGAGGTGCATCACTCTCCAGTGTCCAGAAATAGGCCTTGTTTGGGGAGAACTTACGAAATTGTTTAGAGGACAGATGTGTTTGAACTGAAGCTGTGTTAGTGTTTTATGAAGTCCTTGGAAAGGAAAGCCTGGGCTGTTTTTCTCTGGGAAGATCAAATTGTGGAAAAGCTCTTCTTGCCTATATATTTTGCTAAATTGTTGGATTTTTTTCACCTGTAACTTGTATGATTAATTCTCCTTACCAGTTGTTTGCTTTCTGCTTGATTATTACGCCTGTCAAAACAGTTATCAATAGCTTCACTATCTCTGATGGCCTTCTGCAGCCTCCTTCACAATTACTTAGGGAGCTGGAGCCAAATTAGAACTGGACGGTCTTTCACACGAAACCTACTCTGCGATTTCCAAACCACCTGCACTGTTGAATTTCAGTGTGTTCCTTTTCAAAAGCTGAACAGCCTCAGCAGAGCAGAGCCAATCCTTACAGCAATGAGTGTACTGAACCATTCAGATAGGGGTGAGCGACATTTCTGCCTCAGTGGGCAACCACACTGTGTGCCTGCCCTGGGAACGGTAAAGATTCCCCCCACCCCTCTGCTGCTTTGTCTGAGCCTGTAGCATTTGCTTTGGGGTTTGTGCATATCCAGCTGAAAAATTCAAGGCACATTAAAGAAAATAGCTTTTAAACTGCAATTAATTGTAGCACTAAGAGTCGTGCTTAAGTTTCTTTGTTCTTTGTGAGATTTAATAGCAGGTGGTACTTTGAGTCATACGTATAAAAATGCATATAAAAATGGAACTGTTGAAAACTTCTGTACCCGTGTAAGTCCCTGACTGTGGGTTATGTGCTTGGAACAATCTCTTCCTTTGAAGATCTACCTTGTACCTGAGACAGTATATCTGGTGACTAATCTCCAGCACAATGTGGGCATTAGGTCTGCTTGTTTCTGAGTCAGCATTAAAATACTGCTCCTGGCTCATGAGAAAGAGAGGGATGCATTGGTGTGTGCAGGCAGAAGCTGCTCTGCTTCCACTGTATGTACACTGCAAGTCCATTAAACTCAAGGGGAATTCTCTCCTCTGTAAATTAACAATTAGATTCTCATGTTTAACCTTCTGCATTTAGAGTAATTCTTGCTTTGGCAAGTTGTTTTTATTATGGGCTATATCCTTTACCAGCCTGTGGCTAAAGAAGCCCATTGAATTAATATGCAGATTGCTGGAAGTCTGAAGAAAAACAAGGTGGTGGCCTTGGTAAGATGATTAATTTGACTTCTCACAGGCTGACTGGTCTCATGTGGCATTGGTGTTCTGTGGATTTGTGTTCTTAATGCTCTGTCAGACCTTGATGGCAGCAGTTGAGTGATGTATCCTGCAAGCTGCATCCTCTGCTGCAGTGGGGCTCAGTGAGTTCCCGGTGCCCTCCCTAGCTTAGAGGGCTTTGGGGAAGATTGAGGCATCATGTTGGAGTCGGGGAGTAGACCAAGAAGAATTTTGGAAGATAAGCAAATCAGACATTAGACACAGATTGTCAGAGTGGCTTAAATCTGAGCTGCCAAACTGCACTCTTCTAAAAGCAGTGTCTGTGCCCTAATACAGCCCAATTTGTTGCACAAAAACTCTGGGTACATTAAGGCAAGAAACGTGTACCTCTGGTGCTGAGTGCTTTTTGTGAGTACAATTACTGAAGTAGTTATTAATGCATTTGTGAAAATATACCTTGTGTTTGAAAATGCTGATTCACAGCCAGTGATACCTTTCCTTTTCTGCACTGAAGGTCTTCCCACTGTTCTGCACAGCTCACCGGAGCTGCCCCTGGAGTGGAAGCAAAATAGGAGCCGAATGTGCGTGCGTGTGTAGTGACAGGGTGGGATGAGCTGCAGCATGTTCTGTGTAATTTCTGATCTTTCTATTGTATTTTTTATGAAGAACCAGGGAGTTATGTCTGGAGGGAGAGATCACAGGTACTGGAGTTAAGAGCATGAGAAAATTTCACCATGAAATGATCAAAACCATTTTTTGGAAATATAAATGACTCAAAGTATTTGCATAACTGATTTTTCCAAGTGAGAGCTAGGTAGTAAGGCCGTGAAAGTCTGGTAACATTTTGTTCCTTCTCTTAAATGTGCACCCTATGCTTAAGGTAAGACAGAGGTTTGATGGAAAACACAATACAAACAAGTAACAACGTGATGGGATGGGAATTTAAGACGTGTGAGAAGCATGAACCTCATTCTCAATGGATATATATGTGAGACATTGTGCCTGCTACAATATCATACCCTTATGTTCAGTTATTTATTTTCCAGTAACTGCAGCTGCTTCTGCCTGACTTGAAGACTTTCATTTAGCACAGAGGAAAACTACTGCCTCAAAGATAAGAGAAATTACTGAGGTGGTCTGGGGCTGAGACAGACCTTGGCACCTTATTTGCCTGTCTCCAGATTAGTGTGTCAGATCCCACAAATTCCTTGTCTGTTGTGTTCTGCTCCCCTAATGATGGGATGCATTTAGTGCCTGGTACCTCTGACAGTCCCTGCTGGTGCAGGTGAAAGAGGAGCAATAGGGTTGTATCTCTACAAGAAAAGTCTGATTTTTGTGATTGCATCCTGGAGAAGCGGTGCTCCCTCTGTGTGTGTATATATGCACAAAACAGTTTTTAAATTTTGTTCTTGGCTGTGGTCTGTTGTTGCACGGGTTCCTCCTTGATGGAGGAGTCTGTGCTGCATAAGCTTCCCGATAAAGCTGATAGAAAGGTGGTAATTCAAATTCTAAGCACTAGAATGGTCCCAGCTGTGCAAGCGAATCATGACCTACTAATGATCTTACTGTTCTGACTAAGGTTGCTGTATCCAGATTTTTCTGTGCTATAGACCCACCTCCTCTGTCCTTTTTTCAGGGTGTTTGTGTGAATTCACCTGGCTGTTATGTGGACAGTATTTCCTGAATGAAAAATGCTTGTCTTTAAAGTGGCAGGTGACTGATGTTCAAGTGTTGTGGAAAACTCCACTGAAAGCTCAGTTTGCACAGTGTTCTTCCTGCTGGACTCTCTTAAAGTCAGCATGAAGACCTTTGGGTGGTTTGCTGTTCAGATGCGGGTTTAGGATGTGAAAGGATCGTGTACTGTAAGCAACAAAAGATGCTGTTGTGGTACAGGTGTATGATGACTGCCTTTCTACAGAAATAAATCCATTTCAGCTGCCCAGCAAAGCTGTTCAGAACTGCAAGTTCAAAACAAATATCTCTGGAGGTGGTAGCTGAAGCCACACCTGGTTTGCCCCTTGTCTGTACATTTTCATTGGTTTTTGCATAGACCTTTAGTGTACTTATTTCCTCTAATTTTCCTAAATGTGCTTGATGATGCTGAGTGTGCGGAATTTTCTCAGGTATGGTCTGTACAGGGAAATAAGGAGCTTTTGGTTTTTTTTTAGTCTGTGGCTTTAGTGTTTGCTTAGCAGTAATCATTGCTGGAAATACCCCATTGCTGTGTGACAAAGGATATGGTTGATTCAATGTTTCTAAAGTGCAGTAACTTAACTAATTTGTGTCAGCTTCCACTTTGTGACACAGTAACACCCCAGTAACTCTTTTTCTGATAATTTTGTGTTTTGGAAGCGCTACATTTGTTGTGGTTCCTGTTGCTAATTTCTTGAGGTGAAGTCCTCCAATGGATTTGAAGAGTATCTATGAAGTGTACATGTGTATTTTTTAGCCACCTTGTGGAAACAGCTGAAAAAAAAAATAAGGGGGACAATGCTGAGGAAAATCTAAAATATCATTTCTTCATTTTAAATCAAGATTTTTTTTTCCCTTTTTTTTGATTGTTTTTACTAGGCTTCCTGTTTGCAATGTCTTTTGTAAAGACAGTGTCTCATCGGCAGTGCAATATGCCTCAGGTGATGCTTGCGCCCTGGCCAACGATGATGAAAATTTCCAGGAAAAGGTATGCTGAATACATCACATTTATTAGTTACTCAGTTTGACTTGATATTGAATTTTAAAGAATGATTCATGCACTTTGATTCACGGGGTTTCTTAGCTAGAATATTTAGTGTATTCAGTCCTTCTGTGAACCAGGATGTTATCTTGCCAAGTTTTTGTTTTCCTTCAGGTTTATGCAGCAATGCAAGTGAACAGTTCGGGGTGGGAGAGAGAAGAAAATAGTAAAGCTAGTTCTGGTGGCTTGGGATTTTTTTTTGGGTGCCAGATGTTAGAAGAAGTGGGCATGAGGGAGAGTGTGTGACTGTAGGAATCAACATCAGAGGTGGTGACCTGGATGAGTGTAGACCATGGTATGCCAGTGACATCTGTGTTGTGTTAAAAACAGTGCAGCAAATGTTTGCTATCTGAAATAGAAGGTTTAAGATCAATTGTTTTAAGTCAGTATTTACCACTTTGTTTTCCTTCTCTTTAATAATAATTAACAAAGCTAAAATGCTTGTGTGAAATGTATAATAAACAAGATCTGATCCCTTTTTTACATTACTCAGCATTGTAGGTTAAATTGAGTGTAATCGTCCCACCCTGATTAAGTCATGACAAGTTTCTGCATATTGCAGTGGTGTGGTGAGTTCCCAGGCTGTTGAGTCACATCAGAAAGTCAGAGTTAGTTCATTTTTTTATTTACATAGGTAAAGAATCATTCCTGGGATAAAAATGGGTAGTATTGATGTATTGGTTTTTATCATTTCCTCCTGCAATCTGTAGTAGTGCTAATCACGGTCCTCGTTCCGAGAAAGCTTTTATGTGCCACATCAAAATGGGAAAATATGTGTTGAGCGTTCTAGTTGATTCGAATGGGGAGCTGCCTGACCATAAAAAAAAACCCTTCAAATATTTTAAGTTTCTTAAGCATTTCAACAACTAGGGTAGCTGTATTTTTTTTTCCAGTTTGTGTAGCCAAATAACATTCAGTTCTATTCTTCTGGCTGCCTCAAAAAGAATTCTACTTTAGTTTAATGGCTGATGTAATAAAACTGGAAAGATCAAGTAAGCTTTGACACTGGGAAGCCACTGGTGTATGCTGTCTACTTTTTTCCAGCATTCTTCCTTTCATTCTATTAATCTGGCCACATTGTTAAGCACATTTCTGAACCTAAACCCGAAGATGTGGAAGCTCATACATTACACTGTTCTTTTTACTCATTAAAGAAAATCTCTTGGGTGCATGAGAAATCTTAAGCATGTGCCTATTACTCCTAATTAGGCTGCTGGAGCTGTCCTGCTCAGGAAGGAGCAGTTCTGCAGCCCTTGATCAGTTTTCCTTAGATCAGTTGTCTCTTGGAGCCACTGATGCTATTTCATCTTAGGGACTTGGCTGGGAGCTAATAATATTTGGGGAAAAATGTTGCTTAGCTGTTGTCTCTAAAATTTTCCCGCTCGGGTTTGTAGCTCCTGCTCTTCTGCTGGATGCCTTAACTCTCTGAAATGAATGTCATGTAAAATTGTGTAGCACAGCAGCCCATTTTGGATCTGACCTCCAGCACTTGCAGTGTTTGGCCACAGGGTTTCAGACAGCCCTTATAAAACTATGGGGATGTGAATCTAAATGTAAATTTCAACCAGATCTCTTGCTGTATTTTAAAGAATTGTTCAAAAATAACTTGTGTATTTTGTAGTTAACTTAAAAACAAAACATATTTGAAGGGCAAGTATAGATTCTTACTAGTTTTAGTCTGGTGGTTTTAAAACATTTTTCCCCTCAACTGTGTATTTTTTTTTCACTGTGTGAATTCACTGCACTTGATTGTGAATTTTTAGTTGTGAAAGAGAAGGTTGCTTTAAAAGGTTACAGCAGACTTGTGCAATTACTCTCGTTCTGCTGACGAGACTGCTGCCTCTGAAATGTGCCACGTGTCACTTTTTAATGGTTGCAAGTCATCTTTGGATTTATCTTTCATTCCTTCTCTTTTGGGCAGCAAGGAGATAGGGAGGGTTTATCAGCGTGGGAAGTCATAGCAGAATGATGAGCTCCCCCAAGCAGACAAACTGAATGCTCTAAGGCAGTGCTAAAATGGTCTTTTCAGTGAAGATTTCACAGAGTTATTTTAACTTGCCGTAGGCTTTGTGCAGGTGAGATTTTAAACATATGTGGGCAGTGGCTCTGAAGATTAACGTAGCTCAACTTCTTGATATTTTAATGATGGAAAAGGTGGTATTACTCAGTCTGTGTCAGAGGTGGCTCCTCTTACTGAGGACAGAAGGCCTGTGTTACTGTGCACTTACAGCTGTTGTACTGCAATATTCCAGGGGGAGGAGGCTGGTCCCAGGCTGGAGCCCGAGCAGGTGGACACAAGTACACGGAGTTCCTCTATGGAAGAGCTGCTCAGTGACTTTACAAAATCTGACCAGGCAAGGCTTTTATTTCATTCACTGTCTCCATACGCTCTTCAAATGCTTCTTGGATTTCAGCCTTTCATTTTGGTTATCTAAAGCTCATAGTAGCTGTCTATCACATTTCTCCTGCACACAGGAATGCTGTTAGACTCATGTTTCCAGTGAGGGAGAAAATGTGTGAGCTAACAGACCTTGCCTTTCCCATGTGCATAAGTAATAGGAGTAATTTAGGTGCTGACTAAACGAAACTTTGAGATAAATTAAATTTAGATGTTATAGTTAAGGATGTCTCTTTATAAATAAGGCATGAAAAACCTTCTCACCGAGGTATTTTTTATAGAGATCAGGCTTGGTGATCATAGCAGTCCATTTTAACTTTGATTCTTCATGGCTTCTGTCAGTTTAATTTCTTATTTTACATTGGGAAAAGGCTTGTGCTTCAGTAGTATCTGCCATTGGTACCATTAAGCCAGTGCTCAGTGTTAAATATTATAAAGCCCACTAAAGATGATTTATTTGATTATATATTTCTGGTTTGTGGATGACAAGACAATACATAGGACATACTTCAGAAAACATAATGCATGGGTTTGATGTGTAATTCTATAATAAAGCATATTATAGAATTCACGTTCAGTTAGATAGCTTGGAGTAATCTAGCAACTGGCAAGAGGCTTTTGTTTAATAATATTTTCTGTTGCTGCAAGAGTTTAATCTGACCTGTTTCAGTGGTTATATGCTCTTTCAGATTTACTAAGCCTTATTTCGAGTGTGCTGTGCAAAGGCTTATGAAAACTGAAGACCTAGAATAAGTAAGACTCAAGACTGCTAGATCATTGGAAGCCATAAGTGATTAATCTCTTATTTCAGTTACAGCATGGAATGGGCCTCCATTTGAGTGATAAAATTGGAAGCCTTCTCCAAAACCTAGTTTAAGATGAAAACAGTAAATTTTATTGTAGTGGAACATGCAGATAGAACTGTTTATTTCAGTTGCTGCAATATTCAAACTGGTTTTCTCCTGACTGTTTCTATAGGATTGCACATCCCTGCCTCAGTTGATATTTTTACATGTTATTGCAGACTAGAGAGGAGTATTGCAACTATCCCAGAGCAGCACAGAATACCACTTAAGGAAGAAAGAAAATTTATTTCTGACAAACCTGAACTACTGAACTTTCAGAACTCCGTGCTAGATGTTATTGTATGAATGCTCTTCCTTGTCAGGTTTTGAAAAATGTGTGTTCACCTGTGATTGTTTTCACAGTCGGCAGAAGTAAGTGAAGCAAGCCAGCCCGAAGCTGTGAGCCCACCCTCAGCAGATGTAAATGAAGCTTCCTCCAGCATAGTTGCAAGCACTGAAAACACTTCCAGTTCACCTACCTCAGAGATACCTCCAGTCTCACAGCCCGAGTAAGCCCTGGACATTTTACTGGTTTTTAACTTTGAAAATATCACTTACTAAAAGGTTTAGTAGGGAGAAAACTGGGCTGTTACATGGGATTGTTCTGCTGGTTTGTGGTGTCAGTGCTAATGGAGTACGTCATCATTTACTCAGTGTGGATAAACAGTTGTGTGCTTGCATAAAGTGACATACTATTGCCATTATCAGTTTCTAAGCTGCTGCTTTGAGAAAAAGCCCATGTGTTTAGATAATCTGGACTATAAAAGCCCTCAGGTCTTTGCCATCAGGATTTCTGCCCTTCACAAATGTGCTTTCAAGTGTGTGACAACAAGCAAGAGGCCTTCAGTTAAGGAGGAACTCTGCAGAATTTTATTTATAGATTTTTGACAAAATAGCAAATTTTCCTATAAATGCAATCAAGACCATTTGTAGTTCTAGTACTCAGCAGGGTATTGCAGAGCTACCTCTGCTGCAGGAAACCTTCTGGAGCTTGTGTGGTTTCCCTCCTGTTGTGGAATGCTGTGCTATCAAATGTGAACTGTAGGAGGAAAATGCTCGTGTGTGTGTACTTCTGAATACTTTCACAGAGTTCTGCTGGGCTTTTTGATGTGTGCTGAGGGAAATACGTTGTTCTGATTGCTGATAAAGATCAAATGTTTTGGTAGATAAAAATTCAAGATGTTAAAAATTAAGTAGATTTGTCTTTGCTGTTTTGAGTTTAAGAGTCCAGTTTTTCTGCTTTACCAAATGGAGTTTCTTTACCATAGAAAAGGTATGGAAGTTTTGTTTGTTGATGGATCTTGCCTAGTCTGCCAGGACTAAAGCTTAAACACATTTTGGTACTTCATCGGTGCCTTTAATTGCAATTCTTCCAAAATTTGCGTTTTTTATAAAGCAAAACTGGAATTTAATTTCAGCCATTTGTTTTTGTAGCTGCTGTTGACTACTGCAGCGATTCCTTTGTGTAACGTGTTATAAATCCTCCTGCTGTCAGGTCGTAGAGACAGGATGTTATTTTCTTTTAAACATTCAGCTTGGTATCTGGTAACTGTTGAAAACTGTCGGAACTGTGGGGGATACCGGAGTGAGGAACTCTGAGGACTTGAACTACGAAATGAATGAAAATGGAAACTTGTTTTGGAGCATCTGATTGATTAGCTAATGCTGGACAGTGTTCTGACACCAGTACCATTTACAGGCAGAATTAGTATAGGAGAGATGCATATTTCAAACTGCACTTAAGCTTTAAATAGTAATGGGTGGTCTCTTATTGTACAGATTAATATTCCAAACAGCTGTAGTCCAACCCCATGTTTAAACAAGACCTTTAAAAAGACACAGTTGCATTTTTTTTTATCTTCAGACAGCATTTTTCCTGTTTTAGATGCTGAGGCCTGTCAGTGGAACAAAGTCCAGCTCCCTCAGGTGTTACTGGTCTAATAATACACAGAACCTCTTAGTCAAAATATTCTGAAAGTAATTTTATTCCAGCCTATTTTTACTTTGTAATGGATCCTTTTTTAGGACAGAACTGTCTGTAGCTTTTCTACTCAGGTCTGATCTGAGGAAAACTTCTTGAAGAATTATCTGAGCTCCTTCTGGCTGCAAGTAAAGCCAGCTGCTGTGCAAAGTGAGCTTGGTAGTGCATTTTAAAAATTCAGGCAAAGCCACTAATAAATCAGGGTATCCAGAGGGGAGAGAACACCACAGCTTCTGGGCTTACCTTCTGCCAGAACTAGTTACTTGATGCCAGTCAGGTACATCCTGAGATCAGGGGATTTTTAAGTTCATACTTGTCACATATTTTATTTAGTTGATAATTATTCATACTCTCACCTATCCACTGAGACTGTGCATGTCAGATGTAGGCATTTTTGGGGTGTTCAGAGAAACACTCCCTGTTTGTAGCTAATGAATTCTTGTATTCATAATGTTTGGTTAGATTTTGCTACATACCAAAAAGTCTTGAATGTCTCTGAGGTTTTTGTGTTATACTGTGGCAACTTTATCATATGAAAGGAACTAAAACTGTCTCCCTGGGTTGGTTGCAGCTGCTTCTGTTGATAATTGTAGCAGCCAGAGAACCAGAAAGATCCCCTTTTAAGTCGCTGACGTGCTATTTGTGTTTTGGCAGCTCTGTGATGATATTGGATTAACCTACTTTGCTGCTGACATTAAAGCAAGCTTATGTTGAATTTTAGAGGGCAGAATAAAACTTTGGCTTAGATCTGGCTCTAGCCTAGACCAATGTGAAAGTCATTCCTGTACTGGAGAAGAGAGGACAGTCAGAACTGAAAGTTAATTAGTTGTCCATCTTCTTTCCACCCGTTCTGTCATTCCCAAAGAGCAAATGGGGAGACTTTCTTTTCAGTTTTTGCCTCTGGAGTTGTCTGATGTGGTGTGTTCAGCCTTTCTGGGAGGGAGGAGGTAAAGCAGTGGGCACATCAGCTTGTTTGGGCTGTTGGTACAGCTTGGATGATGGTCTGCTGGGTTCCCTGACTCTTATTACACTAGTGGGAAAAAATAAATAAACCTTGCGGAAAGGAAGCCTGCCTGGCTCTACTGTATATTGTTACAGCACCCCTTTTCTCCTCTGGTTTTAGCCAAGTTCTGTTCTGACTTCCACCCATTGACTTGGGAACATTAGGAGCTTTTAGTGAGGGAACTCAATCTCGTGTTTCTTTCCTTTGTTGAAAGGGGAAAGAACATTGCTGGCAGCCAGATAACTATGAACCTGTTGTTAGTTTGTAATGATGATGGGAAGAATTATCCGTTGCGGTGTTTGGTAAAATGTGAGATAAGAAGCTAGTTTTGAGTTCCTTTCGGGGACAAACAAGCTAAAATGGAAATTCTGTTCTTGCATGGGTACAGCTGAGAATGCATTTCCTTACGTACAGCACACTTCATCCATTTCTCAATTATTTCTGAGACTGTTGCTTTATTAAAACTTTGTAATATCTTTAGTTATGTGGTTGATTGTCAGGGTTACTTATGTCATCAGAAGGCTAAAAGGCATGTTATTTCTTTCCCTTCAGTGCAATAGAGAATTCCCGTGCTGATCCCCCTGTAGTCAGCTCTAGTGAAGCTGAGCAGTCAGAACCTGACTGTGATATTGGTGGGACACTTGAGGCTGACCCTCAGAGTGAGCCTTCCTCTTTTGTCAGTCCACCAGAGAGGTGAGTATCCAAGCAGGCTGGGAGTCTGAATAGTTTAAAGGGAGCTGTTCTTTTCTGTCCTGGCCTTGCAGCAAACATGTGCACGTGCTTGCTTATCTACATATTTGTGTGTTTGTGTGTTTGTTATTGCATATGACTGACGATTTTATGGGTCCTTAATACTCTTTCAACTTTCAGCCTTGCAGGTCAACATATAGAGAATATATCATCTTCACATGGCAAGGGAAAGAAGACAAAATCTGAATTTGAGTCGAAAGTTTCAGTAGCTGAAAAGGGGGCAGAGGAGCAAAAATCTGCTCTGAATGCCTCGGAGAACTTAAAAAGGGAGGTAAGCAGTGCTGGTTTTAACTCAGAACACACAGGAGCCTGGTGCCCTCTGCTAAGCTATCAGCACTGATAAAGATGGGCGATAGCCATCACTTTTCTGATTGCCACTGTATAAAACAGAGAATAAAAGGCAGCAAGGCTGATCTGCTGGCACTCAGTTTTTCTGAGTCTTTTCAAATCCAATACTTGGGGAAATTAAAGTAAAACTATCTGGAGGAGAATCCAGAAGAACTGTTCTTTATGTAAAGATAGTTAAACTGGAACTTCTAACAGGACACTGTGGATGCAGAAATTTTTTTTATGGGCTGAAAACAAAACAGAGGAGAGTTACATGGTCCAAGTGAGCTTGTAGAAGAGAAGCCTGAGGGTTGAATCTTGACTGAGTCAGGAAGTTCCTGGCTAGCAAGCAGATGGCTAGAGGCAAAGATGACAGTTGGAGGAAATACAGAATGTTTGGTGTGTTTTTATTCTGTCCCAGGAATCTTACTTGGCCCCTGTTAAAGTGGGATATTTGGCCAGACAGGTCTTTTATACTCAACTGTATGACTTTTTTATGCTCTTACTGTGAGGCACTTTCTAAAGCTTATGTTTTTTAAATAGCTAAAGAACGACCAAGGCCATGGCTTTTTGCTATTTTAGGATCACATTTAAACTGCCACTAATATCTTGGGAACTAACTTTAAAACATTTTCTACAAAGTGACCTCTACACTTGAAATGTTGAGCCAGAGCTTTTTGTGAGTCTGGTGGTGAGCTGAAAATGTGTTTGTACAGAGAAGTTGACATTGAGTTTAACAGGGTTGCTGCTTTGTTAGGCAAGTCCAAAATATTATTTCTTTGATTAAACATTAAAGAAACCATTTTGAAATATCTCATTCTGCTGTTCTTGAAATGTTCAGAAATTCTGGGGGACCTCTGGAATTCTGTCATGACCAAAATCTGTGGCTGAAGATTTTTGCTCCAGGGAAACCTTTCTTTATTGGGGGGGAAGGAAAAGCAAAAATTTTGAAGATAAAGCAGGTGTTTGAGACAGAATGCTTACATTTGACTTACAATGTATTACTTTAACCACAAAAATTACCATCATCTTGGTGAAAGAATCTGTAATTCTGGGAGGAAATCATCACGTCTTTTTTCTGGCTTGTAAACTTGCTTACCTTGGCACTGAGTTGTTAACACGGGTGCAAGTGATGTGTCTGCTCTTGACTTGCTGAGAGCATGCTTTGTTCATTGCAGTTCAGTTTTGTTTTCATTGTTGGGACTGAAAAATATTCACAATCGGTGGCTCTTTCTTTTGTAGAAAGACTTTAAGAAAACAGGAGAAATCGACCCCACGTCAGTAATAACTCCAAAGGACCCTGGAGACATTCCAACCTTTGATGAATGGAAGAAGAAAGTCATGGAAGTGGAGAAAGAAAAGAGTAAGTTGAGGATTCATTGGTTTGGTCTAAACAGAGACCACTTTCATCTCATACTAGATTTGAATAGGGAAACTGTCTCAGTTTGGAATGCAGCCTGGAACTTCATTTTTCTGCTGGAACTACATAATTAATGGCCTTCATTATGTAAAAGCAGTGAGCAGAAGCTCGCTGACAGTGAAAATACTGTTTGTTTGTGTGGCTTGTTATAGCAGCAATATTTTCTTGTCCCTAGGTCAGTCAATGCACCCCTCTGCTGTTGGTGGGCAGCATGCCACTAAAAAGGTCCAGAAAAATAGGAATAACTACGCCTCTGTGGAGTGTGGTGCCAAAATCTTGGCAGCCAACCCAGAGGCAAAGGTAAGTGTTTACCAATTATCAGTGTGCATTATTTTAATGTAGTGTTATGCAGGAAGTCCTACAAAGCACACCTAAAACTGAACAATGATTTGTGAAGTGATCTTTTATTCCTGTGTTTGTGTTTATTGGGATTTTGAGTTATAAAAATGGGACATAGTGCTCTATGCCTTTTTTTTTAAGAGGGAATATTATAGAGGACTTGATGTTTTTTTTAATGGAATTCAGAAGGAGGAGCAGAGTCTACTTATTACAGAATGAACAGCTGAGCCAAGTTGTATAAAACATCTCACCTTAGTCAATCTGTGATGGCTCCACAGTGTCCTGTGTATTATCCTACTCATAATGTTATGAAACTTAGTCTGCATACCTAATATCAGACTTATTCTTGGGAAGCAGGAAGAAATCCTTGATGCTGTGTTGGTATCTACCATGCAATTAAAAATACTAATCCCCTTCTTTCTACAGAGCACTTCAGCTATTTTGATGGAAAACATGGACCTTTACATGCTCAATCCTTGCAGTACTAAAATCTGGTAGGTTACTGAGGCTTGCTCGTATCATTACAGTTTTCCATTGTGACGGGAATGTGTTTATCCTGTGGGACTGACTTGACCTTGGTGTGTTGCTGCTTGAAATGGATGTGTAAGGAACTTTAATTAACACAGGGTGCTCTATTGTGTCTCCCATAGAAATCTAGCTGTGAAGAGTAATATTAAGGTGGATATTCAGGAAAATACCACTAGTGATTCTGAAGGGAGCAACAAGTGTTACCTTCTTACTTTACAGCATTTCTGTGATTTTGCAGCAGGAGTGGGGTAAAGGGCTGAAGATTGTAACTGTGGAAGGAAAAGTCTTTATTTTTTTTTAAATATTTCCTTTTTGTCTTTAAGGTTTGTTGTTGAGCTCTGTGAACCAGTCCAAGTAAAGCAGTTTGACATTGCAAATCATGAATTATTCTCTTCCACTCCCAAAGACTTTCTGGTGTCAATTAGTGACAGGTATGTTATTGAAATTTACCCTTCTGAATGAAAAATGAAACAATTATTAGATAAGGGCTTCAGAGAACATGGTCTGTGTACGCCTGTTATTATAAAGTTACGTGGATTTTCTTTGTGTGTATGTATTTTATCGATTTAGCATTTTTTTTTCCTTTACCACCTTAAAAAATTAAAAGGAAAATCCTTTTGACAAGCAGCAATAAAGGAGCAGAATTTCTGCAGCATTTAAGCAGTGGGTAGCCGATTATAAAATGAACATTCCTTAACAGAATGCTGCTGACATTGTGGGCTGCCTCCTCTCCTGTCATTCAGACCATTTTCATGTGGTTTAAGGTGTCTTCAGTGAACTCTCTCAAAAAATCTCCAAATTATTTAAAAAGAAAAAAAAATAGTGCACCACTGAGGAGTTGAAAGGGGTTAAAAAAATCCTACAAGTTGGCCAAATGGCTGTTTAAAGGGTGGCTTTATGATGTTTTAGGCAGTGTTGTGCAGTACTGCTTTCTGGGGTTGAGCAGGTAATTCTGGGCTGTGAAGGAGCAGACACTGACACAGCGCATCAGAAAAAACTCAGTTTCTTTTTTAGGTGCTCAAAGCTTGTAGATCTGGACTTTCAGCATTTGGTCTGTTGAGCTCTGCTTTGCTCACAGTTTTTTACTGCTTGCTTACAACAGTATTTACAACCTGTCACATGTTGTGTTCTTCACTGTCCCTTTGAGGGGGCTTTGTTTTCAGTTCCAGATACTTTATTGTAGACTGGCTGAATTTCAGTAATTGGATCAAGTCGAGGGTTTTGTCCTTCAAGGGCTTGCACACTGCTTAAAGTATGTGAAGAGATGCTGCTGAGTTTTTGTGTTGGGACTACTTCATCTTCTCTTCTTTCCATAAAAAGCACATTGCTGTTACTGTGCAGCTGGAAAGAAAAAACTATTCCTTCTCTGGGAAGCCTCAGCAAATGTCTGTAAATGCTGTGTTCTTGCATTTCATTAACTGACTCCATTGATTCCTTTCTAGGTATCCAACAAACAAATGGATTAAATTAGGTACTTTCCATGCCAGAGACGAGAGAAATGTGCAAAGCTTTCCTCTGGATGAACAGATGTATGCAAAATATGTTAAGGTAACTTAACACTGCAAGAGCATCCGTGCTTGTCAGGGATGGAGGGGTTTGCTGGGCTCACCCTGTGTAACAGCACCCAGAGAAATGTGTTATCCAAGCCTGCCTTGCCGTTCATTGCCCCAGGTTCATTGGTGGCCCCAGTGCATGGGCCATGTGCAGTCACAGGGCTCTGACACTGAGAGGCTCTTGGGAGGCACTTCTTGCTTGGTGTCCAAGTGCACACTTACCTGATACCTGAATTAAGAAAAATCCAGACAATGTTCTGTTCTATTTGACTTAACCAATTGTCCCCTGAATGTAAGATTAGAAGAATCTCGACCTGTTTTGTCTGTTGGCTGTACCTGCTCTATACACAGATATATGTCCTGTCTCACTCCCTGGAGCACAGATCACAATATGTGTCTCTATTGGTATCTTTGTACTGGATTCTGCTGTACAATTTTAAGTGAACCTGAAAGACTAAATGTTTGAATCTTAGTTCTCATCAATAGATTCAGACTGCAGTTTTGCAGTTGCTCGATGATAATTCTGACTCAGGCAAATCATTAAGTTCACTGCTACTGGAGCATTGTCATGATATCTCCACCTTCAGAATAGCTTGCATTTATTCAGGGGACTTAAAGAGAATAAAACTCCATAAATAATTAATGTGGTACTTGAACAGGGATGTGAAAACATAGGGATGTAGTGGAGGTTTAAATTCAAATAAAATACAGACCTTTTAGGTCCTCTCTAGCGATGTGTTTATCTGCCAATTATGGTGCTGCTAAAAAAAAAAATATTTGGTTGTGCTACTAAATTACACTTTGTGCTTTCATGAAGAAGCAGCTATGAATGATAGCTGTTTAACTTCTCTACCCAGAAGTTCTGCATGAGTCACAGAATAAAGATTTCATTTATTTTTAATTCTGTTTTCTGGCTGAATTAATGCCTCAAGGTAGCTGGAATCTTGCTTGTCACTGAAGTTGCAGAATTCCAGTAGATGCTTCAGCACTTAATCCCTTGGTGGATGCAGTGCTCTGCCTTGAATAAAACAGCATGGTAAAATGTTCAAGTCCTGAGTGTCTAGTCTGCAGAAGAATAGTCCAAAGATTTTTTTTAAAAAGTTTAATTTTTTGACGTGGCCTACTGAGCTTTTATAAGAAACAATGGAAATTTTTTTTGTAAGAATGCTTTTATGGGAATAGTTGATCTCACTTGTAGATTATTACAGTCCTTCAGTGGTAGTGTCTGCATAGTAATTTCATAAATGTATTCTACATTTGCAAATTAATTCAGAGTAAATAAATACCAGCGTGTAGTCAAGGTGGCACTGGAAATACACAGACATCTGAAGCTTCCAAGTCTGTCACCAGAAGCTCTGTTGTTTCTCCAGTCGTGCTTCTGTAAACTGAAGCACATTATACTGAACTTGAAGCAGCAGCAGGACACAAATGCATGCTGTGTGGGGTTATTTTTCCTTTTGAGTCACTTTCTGTAGTCTGTGCTCTTTAAGGGAAAATAAAAATACACTTAAAACATTTAACACACTTCAATATTCTGTCTTCAATCATGCTGCCCTGAGAAATTGAATAACTGAAGTTAAACTTATAACTTAATAAAACGCTCGTTGCATGTAGTCCTCGAATCTGCAAGGTACAAGGGCTAAAAAAAAAAAATCTTGCTACCCAAGGCAGATGTAGTATTGCAACTTAATCCTCCACAGCTTGTCATCTTAGGCATTTATAGTACTGAATTAAACCCAGCCAAACTCTGTAGTTGCCTGTGGCATGTGTATTCAGCCTTTGTACTGACATCTTTTTTTTTTTTTTTTTTTCTCCTTTCCCTTCTCTCGCTTCAGATGTTCATCAAGTACATAAAGGTTAGCAACCTCTTCTTGTGGAATGGTGAATGCTTGGGGCTTGGGGTGCTCTCTGCTGCGACTCAGCACTTTAATGCATGGCAAGAATAAATCTCTTGGTCTTTTCTGCTGTGGGCAATCTGCAAATCCCTTGAGTAAAAAAGACTTGGAATTTCAAGGTTGAATGTGTATGTTAATGAAGTCTTGACTCTGCGGGCCTTTGGAGTTTTATTTTAAATACCTCTTGTTCTTTAGGTGGAGTTGATATCGCATTTTGGATCGGAACATTTTTGTCCTTTAAGTCTCATAAGGTAATATTTTTTGTTTTGCTTTGTCTTTGAGCAACGAATTCTAGTTTTCAATTAAAGTTATTTGCAAGTATTGTGAATTGAAGTAGTTGCTTAGCGTGCCTGCTGTGTAGAGTCCTTCATGTCTGTTAAAAGAAGCTTTGAATCTTTTGATTTGGTTCTCCAGTATTCAAGTTTATATTTGTAGGGGGGAGTGTGAGGGAACAGGAGCAGGTTTAGAGAAGGACATGAGCATTCGAAGCTGACCAAGCAAAATAAGGGAGCAAGTGGGGAACTAAAAAGAGCAGATGCGGTGAGTGCTTTTGGAAAGCTGCTGTGGTTTTTGCACCCCAGGTGCCAAATATCCAAGTAGAAACACCTGTGTGTTTGTAGATCAGAGGACCATCAGCCTCTGAACTGCTCCTGAAAAAACAGGTCTTGAACTTGGGAACTCTGCAGTGGTAGAAGTCAAACCATATTGTCAGTTGCCAAGACTGCTTTAAGTAAAAGACTCTGGAATTAACAGAATGAAAAACAGGGTCTTGTTTTGGATCAGCATTTAGAAGTCTGCAGTAGATTTTGTGGATACAACTTTGAGAAAATAAACATACCTCCTGTT